GGGAAATTGTATAGGGAATACCAGGGAAGGCTCCAGGGACATGTGACAATTGGGATGTCTTAAAGGATGAGTAGGTTTTTGACAAGGATCTGTTTGTGAGAAGAGGGTGGTCAGGTAGGATCAATATGAGCAAAGGTGCAAAAAGAGAGAATCTCTGGGAGTGTTTACAGAATAAGGAATTATTCCTGTATGAGGATGTAGAGAATGTGTGCAGGAGCAAAGGTGCAAAAAGAGAGAATCTCTGGGAGTGTTTACAGAATAAGGAATTATTCCTGTATGAGGATGTAGAGAATGTGTGCAGGTTAGCAGTGATAGGTGAGGCTGGAAAGCAGCCTTGGGCCAGAATGAAGACGCTAAATTCCAGGCATTATTTGTTAGTCAATGAAAGTATTCTGAGCAGGGGAAGTATAATATTAGAGCTATGCTTTTTCATGAAGACTTATCCCACTAACTCGGGTGAACTATCCAAGGCACAGAAATAGGAATTGAAAAGAAAGCTGGATTTTAGAAGTAAGGCTGAATGGATAATTATAAGAGCTACTTTTTACTGAGTATACTTACTATGCGCTAAGAGCTTTACATAAACTAAATTTATTCCTTACAGTGATTTGGTTAATTAGACATTATTATCTATATTTTACTGATGAGGAGACTGAGGCTCAGAGAGGTTCTGTAACTTGCCCGAGTTTGCAGAGCTTATAGGAAGGCATGCAGGGATCTACGCCCATCTCTATGATTCCCAAGCCCATGCTCTTAACTCTTCTACTATCCTGCCTCCTTGTCTGGATAAGAACAATTCAGTGAACATATTTCAAATGAAACCCTGGCTCCTTTGAAAAGCATGCCAGCGGGGTAGGCAGCCTCTCAGATGGTCCCCAATGATCCCCACCTCCTGTATTCACACCCTTGTATAATCTTCTCCTTGAGTGTGGGCTGGACTTACTGGTTGACTTGTAATAAATAAAACATAGCAGATATGATGGGATACAAAGAGTCTGTGGCTTCTGTTTAGCGCACTCATGCTCTCTCTCACTCTCTTTTGGATCACTCACCCTGGAGGAAGCCAGCTGCCATGTTGCAAGGCAGCCCGTGTAGTGAGGGACTGAGCCTGCCCACAACCACAAGAGTGAGGTTGGGAATGGATCTCTCCCCCTCAGTCAAGCCTGAAGCCTTTTGATAAGACTTCACATAAGGCCAACAGCTTGGCTGAATCAGAGACTCCCAAACTAAGCTGTGCCCAGATTCCTGACGTATAGAAAGGGAGATAATAAGTGTTTGTTGCTTAATCTGCAAAGTTTTTGGGTCATTTGCTAGCCAGCACTAACTCAACCAGTATATAACAATTATTTAATTTCTTATTATAGAGTTAATCTTTTCCTCTATGCTTGGAGCTAGGAGAAGAGAGTCCATCTAGGAGAGATTATACATGAAACCACAGGTAACCAGCCCAGATAACAGTATAGTGTGTCCTGGATCTCAGCCCCAAAACATAAGTCAGTCAATCTACCTATCTCAACCTGCCATGACTCCTCTTACTGTCCTTGTTCTTCTCTTAAATACATTCTTAGAACTCGGAATGTTGTTGTTGTTGTTAGGTGCCATCGAGTTGGTTCCAACTCATAGCGACCCTACGTACAACAGAACAAAACACTGCCCGGTCCTGCACCATCCTCACAATTGTTGTTATGCTGGAACCCACTGCTGCAGCCACTATGTCGATCCATCTTGTTGAGGGTCTTCCTCTTTTTTGTTGATCCTCCACTTTACCAAGCATGATGTCTCTCTCCAGGGGCTGACCCCTCCTGAAAACACATCCTAAGTATGTGAGATGTAGTCTCGTAATCCTTGCTTCTAAGGAGCATTCTGGCTGTACTTCTTCCAAGACAGATTTGTTTGTTCTTCTGGCAATCCATGGCATATTCAACATTCTTCGCTGACACCACAATTCAAATGCATCAACTCTTCTTTGGTCTTCTTATTTATTGTCCAGCTTTCCCATGCATATGAGGCGATTGAAAACACCACGGCTTGCATCAGGTGCACCTTAATCTTCAAGGTGATTTCTTTGCTCTTCAACACTTTAAAGAGGTCTTTTGTAGCAGATTTGCCCAATGCAATGCGTCTTTTGATTTCTTGACTGCTGCTTGTGGGTGTTGATGTGGATCCAAATAAAATGAAATCCTTGACAACTTCAAACTTTAAGTACTCAGAATACTAAAACTCAAACCTCAAGATTCATAAAATAGTTCTAACCTCATAGAAGATTCTTTGTTTCCTGACGATCATACATTACACTGTATAGTACTGTTATTATAGCACGTATCACATTCTTTCTTATTTGCAGGTTTAAGTGGCTGTTTCCCAACCATCCTCTTCCCTTACAGAAACCATGTCTTATTCAGTCCTGTATCCTCAGTACCTAGTATTTATTAGTCCATGGTTGGTGTCGAATAAAGTTTCAATGAGTGAATGAGTGAGTAAGTCGATAAGCAAGAGAATAGGTTGCCTGTCAGGGGACATGGGAAATAGAAATTGAAAGTGCCAGGCTATTGCACAATCTGGACCTTCACGTGAGCCATTCCTTCTACCAAGAATGCTCTTCTGTTTTCCCCAACTCTTTTCTCCCTTTAACACTCACCTCATATATCTTTCCCCCAGCCTCTACACACACACACACACACACACACGCGCGCGCGCGCGCACGCCCGGGAAGCCTTCCCTTTCCTGCCCTATAGCCTTTTCTTTATGCTTCCACAGCCCCCTGGGCATACCTTGGTCACAGCACCTAGCGCACTGCACTATAATGATTGGTTTGTTTGTCCATCTTCTCCATTTGATTACAAGCCCCTTGAAGGCCAATGCCTTCCTCTGCATCCACATCAGTACAGTGCCTGGCAGTAGCTGGCACTCAAAACAGTTTAAAATAATCAGTAAAAGACTGAATGAATGGGAAAAAGAAAACTCTGTATTGTGGCAAATTATCTCATCATAATCTGTTACTTCTACAAAAAATGTCTATTAGGCACATACACAGCTCCAACTCCTAAAAAGAGTTAAATTACTATCATTGTATATCAAGATTATTGCAGATACAGGAAACAAGACTTTTTGAAACAAGACTCTTTAAAAAGTGCTTTAATCCATGGACAGGCACCAGGCAGAGCTGTCTTCAACACACTTTTTTCTCTATCTCCCTCATCCCTGATCCCCTGTTTCAGTAAACAGTGGTTTCTACCTTCTCAACCTAAGATTCCCTGTACTGTCGCCAGATGCCATGCATAGATCTGCCTCCCAGAAATCTTCTCTATACACCCATGAAATGTTTTTAGGTCCCATGCTCTCTGAGTCCTGAACTGCAACTGAGCAAGTTAAAACAATAACCTGGATTAGTAGCAAAACAGGTGCTTAAAAATTGCTGCTCCTCCTTTTTTTTTTTAAGATGATGAATAATCTATTATAACAGCCTCTACTGACGGACAGTTAGGTTGTTTCCATTTTCTTGCTATTACCAACAGTGTTTGTACATATATATCTGCACACATGTACAAGTAAGTATTTCTTTGGCATAAATTCCTTTTTGGAAAAGGCCTGTCTGTGCCAACCTATTGAAGGCACAGATACAAGACCACCATCTCTGGGCTAAATGTCCTTACTATTATGTATTATTTATCGAACCTTCTTCCAACCCTCCCCCAATACAGGAGATGGCAATGGGGCCACTGGAGCTCTGACCCAGAACTCCGTCTGAGAGACTGAGGAGCTGCAATGAGTGACACCGTAAGTTTGAGACAGTCCAGGGACAAGGGTGAAGCCAGCTTAGCTGGCCCCACTCATTTGCTTTTCCCACGAAGCTCCTATAGAGTGAGGCCATGAATGAGTTCCTTGACCTCAACCTACTCCCTGGGCTCATTTCCAGCTGCCTCAAGTTTTTGCCAGCTCCATGAAGGGTGCCTCCGAGGTGATCTGCAGGGCCAAGCTGAATCTGGATCAGCCCGTGTCACTGTTGGGGTTGGGGGGACCCGCAAAGACATTCTCTTACAGGGTTCGAGAAGGTTTAGGTCTGCATGCACTTAATCTTTTCATTTCCTAACATCACTGATTGGTTGCCATGGTGATCTCAGTTCCTCAGTCCCCCATCTCATCCCAAATGGATGATGCAAATGTTATAATGCAGGGCAGGAAGCTCTCCCAGGCTATTGGAGGAGAGGCTACTTTTCCAGGAATGAGGGGTGGCAGAGGGGCCTCTACTTACCCCATTCTCTAGAGTTGTTACACACCTGAGACCTTGCATCCAGACACCCCTTTGCTCTGGGCTCCCCTCTCCTAAAGCCACACCCAGTCCATGTGAGAAGGGGCTGCCACTCTACCCCTAACAGTGCTAGTTGCCCAGGAGAGAAAAGCGATTGCCACTCCCATTTTGAAGTGACCTTTTTCTAAACTGATGGCTTTGTTCAAAGCCCAGTGGGAAAAGACATTTTGAAACAAGGGATCTTTCAGATGCCTTCAAATCACTCCATTCAGATGAGCTCCCCAAGAAAAACAAATTTGAAACATGTAACATTAAAACACACTATTCTGCAGTTATAAAATGGTTTCATGATTGTAACAGAAAATCTGCAAAACGTAGAAATTTTAGTTCAAAACATTTACTCGTAATCTCAGTAGAGAGGTGATATGGCTTGGTGGTTAGGGCAGAGGGCTGAAGCCAAGCTGCTGGAGGTTGGTCCTAACTCTTCCACTCTCTAGCCTTCTGACCTTGGGCAACTCAAGTTGTCCATCTAGAAAATGAAATAATAATGAGACCTATCCCCAAGGAATTGCCAGGAACATTAAGTGGGTTGGTACATGTAACTTACTCAGAAGCGTCTAGTGAGTAGTATGCAGTCAATAACTGTCAGCTCATTATGATCATTTTTACTGGTATTAGAACTGGCTCTGAAAGAACCCAGGGAGGGAAGTTTCCAACGCCAAGAGAAGGAGTGAGAGGAGAGTGCACTTACGGATTTGGTTGTTCAGCTTGAATGCAATGTCCAGCTGCAGGATAAACAGCATGAATTGGAACCAAGGACTCATCTCCATGGAGGGGAGGGGAATGTGGACAGAAAACACAATGTCATTGGCTTGGATTTCCTTTGTAATTGCTTCATTGAAGTCTCTGATCTTGTCACACTTGTTGGGTCCCCAAGGCATTAGCCATTTTGTCTTGTGATGGTTTTTATGGGTATCCACACATTTTACTGACATGTAGGACACTGCAGTCGTGGGCCCAGGAGCTGAAAAGAGAATGTTTTTATGTTTTAGAAAAACCATCTACTGAAGTGATCATTTCTGGCTAACATTCTTTCCATTACTATCTTCTTTCCGTTTTTTTTACATTTCCTTCTATAACTTGGGATTAGTGAAACCTAGGGATATCCCAAATCCAGGCTGACGGTCCTTCAGGGACCACAAAAAACCAGTTCCCATCAAGTTGATTTTGACTCATGGCAACCCCATGCGTGACAGAGTAAAACTGCCACGTAAGTTTTCCTGGCTGTGATCTTTACAGAAGCAGATCACCAAGCCTTTCTTCCATAGTGCTGCTGGCTGGGTTCAAACTGCCAGTCTTTAGGTTAGCAGTCAAACACAAACTGCTTGTGCCACCCAGGACCTTTCAGTGACCACAAGAGGTGTCATAAAAGTATTCCCAAGAGTCTTCCCACTGTGTTTTCAATTACTTTTATTTGAAGAATACTTCCATAACCAGTTTGGTTCAGTTCCTTCCTCACTTCAAATAAATGCCACAAAATCAACTGTGATACAGTTTCCAACCTGTCTGGGGCCTGGGGAAAACTCTGGTGCTCCAAAGAGCAGTCTCTGAAGTCAGAAGACCTTAGCTTGAAGCCTGGTTAAACAACTTAACTGTCAGTTAATCTTGGGTAAATCAATTAAATCTATGCTAGCTTGGGACCCTCAACTGAGAAATGAGATGATTGGTGTCTAAGATTTCTCTTCGCTCTAAAATTCTGTAACACTGCTTGTGACTGAGAGAAAGAACTATGTTGACCTCAGGATCCCACTTAGCTTGGCACCTGTCAGAAGATGGAACTCAAACACTGACTGATACTTCAAAAAGAATACTAAAATATGACCCATCTATTTCAAGAGAGAAAATCATATTTAAAAAAAAAACTATTTTGTGATTGTATAATGGTTATTATAGAAAATCTTCAAAATATAGAAAATTAAAACAACATATCCCCAAAATCCCACTACAGGGAAGTAACCACTATTGGAAAATGACAAAGTATGATGTCATTTCTATTAGCATGCAATTAGATAAGATTTATAAATGAATGAAGTTGCATAATTTAAAAATACATACAAATATTAACACTTATTTTTGCAAAATAGGATCATCTCATCTATAGTTTGGTAGCCTCATCTTTTCATATGCTTTGAGAAGCAGAGTAGCACAGTGGTAAATAACATCGGTTCTGGAGCCAACTGGCTTGGTGCCAAATCCTTGCTGTCTCATTTTTGGCTTTGTCACCACTGATAAACGCTAGAGAAGTTTTGGGCCAGTTACTAAACCTGTCTGTGTATTAGTTTTATCATCTCTTAAATGATAATAATAATAGTATCTATCATCCCCAAGTCACTGTATGCATTAAATAAGTTAATGTATAAAAAGTACTCAGAACAATGCTTGAGCACAAGGAATGTATAAAATTAATATTAGCTGTTATATTAGAAACATTTTTTATATAATTAAAATTTTCAATTAGTGGCTGCCAAATATTCACTCACAGGGTAGTAAAAATTAATTTAAATACTCCCGTATTGGTTTGTAAAGACTGTCTGTAAATAGTAATTCTTTGTCTAATATTTTTTGTTAGTAACTTATCCTAACTTTTCCATCTCTGCTATGCTGTCTAAATTTGTCTGCGGCATTTTTTAAATATAAAGAAGTTTCAGATTTTATATAGATCTCTCTTTTCCTTTTTTTTTTTTCCCCACATGCTTATGTGCTTAGGGAAACCTTCTTTCTCACCAAACTCAATAAACATCCACTGTCATGGATTGAATTGTGTCCCCCAAAAAATGTGTGTAGCAACTTGGCTGGGTCATGATTCCCAGTATTGTATGATTGTGTTATCTGATGTGATTTCCTTATGTGTTGTAAACTCTACCACTATGATGAGATTATAGGTGATCTCCTCATGTGTTGTAAATTCTATCACTGTGATGAGTTTATACTGATGAGGCTGACAAGATTAGTGTCTTAATGCAATCTCTTTTGAGATATAAAAGAGAGAAGTGAGCAGAGATACATGGGAACCTCATACCACCAAGAAAGCAGTGCTGGGAGCAGAGCGTGTCCTTTGGACCTGAGGTTCCTGCACAGAGAAGCTCCCAGACCAAAGGAAGACTGATGGCATGGACTTTCCTCCAGAGCCGACAGAGAGAGAAAACCTTCTCCTTGAGCTGATGCCCTGAATTTGGACTTGTAGCCTACTGGACTGTGAGATGATAAACTTCTCTTTGTTAAAGCCATCCACTTGTGGTATTTCTGTTAGAGCAGCACTAGATGACTAAGACATCCACATATACTAACTTTTAGTTATCTTCTTCTAATTTCATTTTTTAAATATTTAAGTCTTTCATAATCTGGAATTTATTTTGATATAAGATGAGGTGAGATTCTAGCTTTATTTTTTTCTCGTAAGTATTTAAATTATCTTTTACTGAACAGAACTTCTTCTCTTGTTGATTTATGACATCACTTTTATCTTATGTGTATACCAATTATTTTTGTTCACTTGAATAAATCCTCTAGTCTCAAAAACCTTTTGCATATCCCACTTTGGTGAGTGGCGTCTGGGGCCTTAAAAGCTTGCAAGCGGCCATCTAAGAGGCATCAGTTGGTCCCATCCCACATGGAGCAAAGGAGAATGAAGAAAACCAAAGACACAAGGAAAATATTAGCCCAAGAGACTAAAGGATCACATAAACCAGAGACTCCACCAGCCTGAAACCAGAAGAACTAGATGGTGCCCAGCTACCACCAATGACCGTCCTGAGAGGGAACACAACAGAGAGTTCCAGATGGAGCAGGAGAAAAGTGGGGTACAGAACTCAAATTCACGTAAAAAGACCAGACTTAATATTCTGACAGAGACTGGAGGAACCCCTGAAACTATGGCCCTCGGACACTTTGTTAACCCAGAACTGAAACCATTCCTGAAGCCCACTCCCCAGACAAAGATTAGACAGGACTATAAAACAGAAAATAATATACTTGAGGAGTGTGCTTCTTAGTTCAATCAGATACACGAGACCAAATGGGCAGCTCCTGACCAGAGGCAGGATGAGAAGACAGGAAGGGACGGGAACTGGTTGAATGGACACAGTGAACCCAGGGTGGAAAGGGGGAGTGTGTTGTCCCATTGTATGGATTGCAACTAATGTCACAAAACAATATGTGTATAAATTTTTGAATGAGAAATTAACTTGAGCTGTAAACTTTGACCTGAAGCACACACACACACCAAAAAAAACCTCTGGCGTAACTGAAAAACTCAAAGATAATTCTGGACAATCTACTCTATTCCATGGATTCAGCTATCAATTCATGGGTCAGCACACTGTTTTGAATCTTGTAAATTGATGGCTTGTATTAAAATCTGACAGAGCAATCTCCCTCCTCTAATCTATTTCCAATTTGCATCCTTTTGCTGAGATTTTTTTGAAATTATGTTAAATCTATAAATCACTTTGGGCAGAATCAGCATCTTTTCCCAATATTTAGTCTTCCCACCTAAGAACAGTGATTGCTTCTCCATTAACAGGAGTCTGAAATTTTTCATAGTTTTCTTCATGTAAGTCCTGCTAGTACAATATATTCTTATAACATATTTATAAAAGTTGCTAGTGAAAGGAAAACAGTATAAACTATGGTTTATGCACATATTTTAAATACGTTTAATTCTGTGCATATGATACTTAGCAAACTGTGTTTATAGATCTTTTCTGAGAAAAACCATCTCTTATTTAATAGCGATCAGCTAGTAACTAGAGGAATGTGTAAAGCAAGAGAAAGTCATTTAGGAGGCAAAAGTGTTTATGATTAATATTCTGCGTTACTTCTAAAGCTCAGACACACTTTTTAAAAATTTCCATCCCTAAATATCTATCCTAACAGTAAATGTTGAGGATATCATCAATATGAAAAAACAAAAAACCAAACCCACTGCCGTCGAGTCAATTCCAACTCATAGCAATCCTTTAGGACTGAGTAGAACTGCCCCCATAGGGTTTCCAAGGAGTGGCTAGTGGATCTAAATTGCCGACTTCTTGGCTAGCAGCCAAGCTCTTAACCACTGCGCCATCAGGGCTCCATCATCAATACAGAAGCAGTAAAATGTTATGTTTGCAGAAACTTACCAGAAAACTCAGCCCTACTGAACTCTAGCTGAAAGGTGTTCAATGTAGTATCCTGAACTCTACAATGCAGAGTCACCACTAATCCATGCTAAGGCAGTTTTTCTTTAAAATTCAAAACTGTACCATTGAGACTTTTACACCTAATCCATCTAAAATCAGACACCTGGCTTATTATTAGAAATATGAGTCAATCAAAGGTTGGCTGTCCTGACTCAGCTAAATGCCCACTGACATTAGTGAGCCCAAAAGGCATATTTAACTGAAACCTTTTTAATGTGGTTGGAGAAATAAACAGTGAGACAAAAGTATGAATTTTATTTTTGGCTAACGTACTCAAACTGACTATTTGCTGCAGAAAATAGTTACTGCATTTTAAAACTTCTATTCTTCCAAAATGAACGTAACCTTTTTCTCTTTTGAAAAACAAGTCTCTTACTCCTCAGCTCAAAAGGAAAAATAACTAGCTGAGTTCCTCCGCTAAGCTCCAAAACCACATTCCAAACTTAATAACAGAGAAGCTGAACACTTTATGGCACAAAGGCTCAGTGTGCATTTTTAATGGACACAGTGAACGCCTGCCTTTGTAGCAGCCTGCATTATTTTTATTCTTTCATTAGCCTAGTGTTTTTTGTATAGAGAAAAAAAAAATGCCAGGAATACTAATATTTTCATAAACATCATGGCAATGAAGTTGGAGAAGCCAAGATATACTAACCAGAATCACAAATATTTTTCTTCACTTGAATAAATTAATCCTCTAGTGTCAAAAACCTTTCGCATTAACTTAAAAATCTGAAGATAATTCAACATTTTCTAGTGCTCAAAAGACAAGATGCTTGTATAGTTT